TGGGGGTTTTTTGAAAATGGGGGTTTTTAATTTGTTGGTTTTATTAATTGTTGGTTTTTAATTTGTTGGTTTTATTTCTGGGGGTTTTTTTATTTGGGGGTTTTTTAGTCACACCCATATTTTAAATAGCTTTATAAAAAATAGTGATACGATTAATACCTGTTATACTGTTTAAATTATAAAGTATTACCTTGTTATTTGATATGATAATTAGAAAAATTATTTGTTATAAAGTTCAAATAATATCAAACCATAAATCAAAATAACTTAAACTATGTAACTACTCTTGATTACCAAAATTAAGTAATATATTTGTATTGAACACAATAATAGTTGTGAATGATTTTTAATTACAACTTAATTTCCTTTATATTTTCATATGTATTTTAAAAGTTATAATATAACTTAATGTTATAAATGTAATTTATTATAATTAAATTAAACATTTTCATTTAATATAATTTTTATTTTCATTTATATATATACGTATATTAAATATTTGATTTAATTTATTTGAATCAGCTCATTAATCAACAAATTAATGCTCACTAACTTAATTCACAATTATAATCTTTTAACATGTAACATATTCTAACCTGGTACATTAAATAGCAAAATAAATTCCATCCATTAACAATAAATATAATAATAAATACAACCATAATATTACCCAACACAATTAAAATCAATTCTCATTATTAGCTGTTTTCTCGACATTATTATTGACTTCAAAGCCGCCCTCAAACACAAACCGGTCGACCGGATGTCGGGGCGCTATCCGGGTCTCAGTAGACCTGTCCGACAGCGCCGGCCGTTTCCCGATTGCAATCATACAGTCTATGGAATCCCTGGCCTTATCCACACCAAACACTTCGTAGGCTTTCTCGTAGTCAAAGCCGGCCATACAGTGCACCACCAGATCCCTGGCCGATGCCTCCAATGCCAGTGCCATACACGCGGCCCCGGTATCAAAGCTGTGCGTAGGGTTGGGTAGCTCTTTGGTGTTGTCCCCCTTCATGAAAAATAGTCGGTGCGATACGACCACTACCTATATTGAGAATAAAATGAACATGTTACTTTAATATCCGATTTTTAATAAACAAAATATTTACACAATAAAATTCTGCCTGTTTATGTATAAATTACAGTTTAATATGCTTGATCTAGTACAGGGTCATAAATGTAACTATCGAGTTACTTTAAAAAATAGCTAACAATTTTATTTAATTAAATTAACAGACAACTAGTTTCTAATATTATAATAAAATTTTGTTTGCTATTAATTAATGATAATAATTTATTATTAATAAATATAGAAATAAATTAAAATATCTTTCAAAACTATATCTACTTTATTTTAAATAGCTTGATAATAAAATTATCGTATGTTCTTACTACGTCCAGTTTTAATGAAATTAAAAATCAAAATAGTATTCTTTGAAACATTTTATTAAAATTACAGTTTAAACGTAAATTAAATTTAATTTAAAATAATGTATAATGCATTAAATAATGTAAATAATGTTTACATACCAGTGCCGATGCCGGTTCGCACCACTGGAGGTTCAGTGGCCACACCAGGTCGTGAAACTTATCCCAGTGTTCAGTGTTACGTTTGGCGTACAAAAATCGCCATGGTTGCTGGTTGTAAAATGATGGTGCCCACCTTGCTGCCTCAAACAATGTCATAAGCACCTTGTCCGATAAGTCCTCCCCGGTCATTTCCCGAGGTGATGTACGGCTAAGTAGTAATGGGTGTATCGGGTAATCTGGTTTGCGACCCTGGTTATAAATTTAACGAAAAATTATAATTGATTTGGTTTGTACACCAATTAAAAATATTAAAACTATGTTAAATAATATATTATATTAGTTTTGTAATAAATTACAGTTTCCTAGAACATTTAATTAAGTTCGGATAATAATATAACTTTCATATAATTAGAATTATTTATTATTTTAAAATTATATTAATTATACAATAATTTTATGAAAAATTATCATTTAATTATATAAACCAATTCATATTTGCCGATTATTTAAAAATATTTTTATACCTTTAGTATAAATTAATTATAAATGCTAGTTAACAGTCTGTATTAACATTTATATAATATTTGAAAAATATTTATTATTAAATAATTTTAAATTAAAAAATATTTACAAACCAGTATTTAGTATTTGCTAATTAGTTACATTAAAAATAAAAATAATTTCTAACACATACCTTGATAACAGCCTCATCATAGGTGTAAGTAGTTTCAGTTGGCATTGTATCAAATGCTATAACAAACAAAAAATACAAAAATAAATATTACAAAAATTCAAAAATTGAAACACATTTTAACATTGTCAAAAAATAATTACAAAAATTATATACATTTTAACACAACTTTTGGTGAATTACTAAACAATCTCGAAGTCACGTAAAAATTACGATTAGTTTTTAGCAAATACTTTGCAAACACTCTAACACTCATTGAAATGTATAAAATAATTAATTATTTAGTCAACCAGATTTAGTTTATATACAAAATTAATGTGCACACCTCATTTATTCACTAACATTTATACCTATGCAAGTATTTTTAGTGCACAACTATTTAGTACATTATTTACATTAGCACTAAAATACCTTTGTGAATGGTCTAGGTTTGTTTATAAATCACACTAAATGTAAACTAAAAATAAAAACCCTGAATGTTTATTATCAGTATTATACATAGCTATATGAGACCATAATCGCACCGGCGTTTTAGTGCACAGTTACGTCACATGGAGTTAGTGCATTTTTACTACATTGTCAAGGTCACTATGTGACTGCTAGTATATAACACTAGTTTATATTTACAATATACCTTGATTAAAAATACATTCAATTACTACAAATACATATTGAAATCTATCATATTTATTTTTATCAAAATTAATAATATTGCAAACATTAATTGTATAAAAATTTCTTTAATAATTAATATACTATAATAAATAGTTTTATATAATTTTACTGTATTGAATGTTCACACAGTGATCTCAACAGTATAGTGAAATGCCAATATAGCAATATGCCATACATTTGCCCTAACGTTTATTAGAGGTATTGTGGTTTTAGTGCATTTTGTACTTGTTATAATAACTACGGTATACTTAGTACATAATTTCGTAATTATAAACTAATACCTAGTATCATACTATCATTTGTTAATGATAAATAAACAAACCTCTTAAAATAAGTATATCATTTTTCAACTTGAAAATAATATGTATAATATATTGTATAACTTGAATAATGTTTTGATAAAGTATATTAATTATTTCAAAGTATTATAGATTTTCAAAAATTAAAATAGCAAATGTTTTTATTTGACTTAAAAATAACTATATAAATAATAATTCAGTTAACTAATCCAAATAACTAATTATTATTTATATTTAAATTTTATTAATATAATATAATAAATTTTAAAAATGCATTTATTTTTAATGATATACCATTAGTATAATACAGTATCATAAATGCAATTTATTATTGTGAAATAAATGTAGCTTAATTTTTGTTTAATGATAATCCCTAATAGTTTATACCGTAAATTATTCATTTGATACTGGTAATAATAATAAGCTATTTAGAAATATATTGAGCAATAAATCATCTAGGATAGTATTCTCTCAATTGAAGTCAAATTATAATAAAACCTGGGTTGATTACTACCTCCATTAAATGTGATTCAAAATTAATTGCAATTTTTTAGTTAAATTATATATTTATTTATTATATTTATTTAATTGTTTTATAAATCACTAACTTTTTTAATTAAATTACAATAAAAAATGTCTACTTTAGCGGTACCGAAATAATATAATTACATTTGTGAGCTATTAATTAAATTATAAAAAATCATTCATTTTACAATTTGATTTAATATAAAATACTTAAATGTTACAATATAGTTTATTCATTACAATACATTTATAATATACTAGTGTTACATTAATTTTAATTCATTATAAATGATTTTATATTGTTATAAAATACTAAAATAATAATGTTTTTTCATGTTCAAATTATAAATAAATATGATTTTTTAAAAGCCATTATACTATTAAAATAATTCTTTAAAATAATTGTTAATTGGAAACCTCTATGATCTTGATGAATGATAAGCCAATAAAACTCAAAATCTAAATTTATGAAAATAAATTAAAATAGTTTTTCTATTAACATATCAATTGTAGGCATACCTCATAACCGCGAAACTGATTGATGAGAAACAGCGCCAACAGTAAAAGCCAACCCTTTTCTCACCCAATCAATGATTGCAACTATATTTGCGATAAAAAATTTTTTTAAAAATTATTTACTTTTAATTTAATTATTATATTACGAATCGTTGGTATTTGTGGACTATTGTTCACAAATGAGTGAACGGTTTGTGGCATTGAATGGCTTATAGAGTGAGAGACCATTGCTGTAGAGATGAGTACCGGCCCTCGCAATCACCAATGACCCTGGTAACACTTCATTGCATTTAATAATATTATCACTTGATTCAATCATCATTATATTAAATATGTAATCATAGTACTCGCATTTTGTATTTTCTATTTATTTAGTAAGTTATTTGAAAAATACTCATTCACAATTGTAATTATAATTATATTAATTGCTATTTGCTGTAATACTTAACAAAATATAGTTATTGAAAATAATATTTATGTTTAATTACTTTAGTATTATACAATTCCCACAGTTATGCGTATATCATTAAGGTCTATTTTAATAATATTATAAAAACAAAACCACTAAAATCACATTAAATGATTGCACAACTTTTAATGGTTAAAGTTCATGTTCAGGGATAATTTTTGAGATCATTGTTTTGAATAACTTTTTCAATGATTGATACGACTATTATGACCAGGCATGACCAGGGACTCTCTTATCATGTAATTTATTTAATTAATTTCTAAACTATACAATTAGATTAAAATACTTGAAAATTGTTTTAACTATCTTATCTAATTACACTATAATAAACATTTTATGAATTTTAATTTATAAAAATTTCATAATTATTTTATTGTTACTTTAAAAAATTAGTATTTAATTCCGAAATTTATTAACTTGTAAGTGATACTTAAAAATATAATAGTGTAATTAAATATTATTTGTTAATTGTATAATATGGTGTATTTAGATAATATCAATCTACAATACGGCAAATATTTTAATATTGGTTTAAAGTTAATAAATTATTTTAATAAATTAATCCCTAGGTTTTCATAACTTATTATATAAAATACTTAAGATTTATCATTAAAATATTAAAAATATTTATTAGTACGAATATTAATAGTATTAATAGTATGATTATCATTTGACATTTCATTTTATTTAAAATCAATAATTATTTTGACATAAACAGCATCATTAAAAGCTTAATTAAATGTGTGTATATAACTTGCTTATTTCTTGAAATATAACATAATTAACAATGGATAACAACGTTTTAATGTAATTCTTTTAATTAATTTAGTTATATATTAAGTTATTAACTTTGTATAAATTATTTTCTAAACATTTCAATTATTTTCAAGAATGTGATGGCAATGAGGCTTAATATCTGTAATGAAATGATATTTTTTGAGAATATAAACCAAACGAATATATAAATGAATGCATACCTCATAACCACGCAATCGATTGATGAGAAACAGTCGCCAACAGTAAAAGCCAACCCTTTTCTCACCCAACCTTTCAATCAATGATTGCAACTATATTTTGGGATAAAAATTAATTCATTTAAAATACAAAATTATTTAATAATTTACTTACTTTTAATTTACAAATTATATTACGAACAGTAGGTCTGCGATAAATGGTAACCAAATTTGAATTAAATAGTTTATGGGAAATAGCAACTTGCTCACATAATTTAGCCGAATATTGTATTATAAATATCAGGGTTGTTAAAAACTCTAAATATACTATAATAATCAGTATTTTAGTTATGAATGGTATATTTGAAAAATGAGCATTATATATTATTAATGTAATAAGCAATGAAATTAAAATCCAATAAACTGCCAAAAATTTAGACCAATAAATGCGATTATATTCATTGATTTCCACATAAATATCATTGAGTTTACGCATAATATTCATTAAATGAGTATTATTACAAATTTCATTATTAATTGACTGTAATTTTAGTTTTAAATACTTAACAATAATTAGATAATATATTAATTGCCAAATAATTACCGAGTTCATATTAGCGTTTATATAAGCAAACAATATGCAATTGGGAATTACGTACAAAATAATTTGATTTATTGTTAGGTATGGTGCAACTACAGATAAATAAAGTGCTAAACATAAAATAAATACGGACTTGGTGATTAATTCTGTAATTTTGATTAATTTTTCGGAAAATACGAGTAATTTCTGTACGATTTGTTTGTCATGAATACCAATACTAATGGGTGTTATTAAACCCGAAAGCATCCAAAATATACACAAATCCCGCGGTTTTATACCTCGACTATAGTTATAGTAATTCAGTAGTTGTGAGGACAGGCATAAAAGTAGAGTCAATATATTATTGATAGATACTTGAAGTCTTAAGCCCACAAAGTATGATATGTCGCCAACCATTGCATACAACTCCAGGTTTTGCTCCGGAATTGCAATCAATACTAAATGCCGTAAAAGGTATGCAATTAATGATACAAATATGAGAATTGGACTATAAATGAGTGAACGGTTTGTGGCATTGAATGGCTTATAGAGTGAGAGACCAATACTGTAGAGATGGGTACCGGCCCTCGCAATCACCAATGAGCCTGGTAACACTTCATCGCATTCAATTGAATCAATCATAATTATATCAATTAGGTATACGATAGTACTAGCAATTAATAGTTTATACTAATTTAACACTTCACCACATTTAACAGAGTAATTAGTGAAACGTGGATTCATTTTATTACTTAGGTTTATATTATACTCCTCGTAAAAGTAGTTTTTAAACTAATATTTGAAATGCTCATTTATATTCTATTAAAAAGCATAAAATATATTATAATATATTGAAAAATCAATATTTTATAAACTTATAACAGTAAACATCATCATTAAAATCTAAAATAAGACACAAACTATTAATCATAATATTAATTGTCTAGATATTTATTTCGAAATGATTAATAGTTTACATTTTTACAATTAAAGTAAACTTGTTTGATTCTCAATGTGGCCAAAACTAGCCTATATCAATTATAACATATAGGGTATAGGCTAGTTTTGGCCACATTGAGAATCAAACAAGTTTACTATTTGGTAATTTTATCTAAAATATACTCTCATATCATTTATCAAATTATTTAATGTTGGCATAAATGTTTTTCAAATAATTGCTAATTAACTGTAAATATCCATATTGCAAAAGTACAATTTCTAAAAATGTTTAGTACAATGACAAAATGCAAATTAATATATACACAAAAAATACATATATAAATCCAAACATGACTATGTTACAGTAGTACCTGATACTATAAAATAAAGTTATAATTTTGGTTAACTTAGCATTTTATTTTTACAATTTATATTTTTACGCTACTTATTACAAGATATTGTTTTGTAGTTATATTTTTCACTCACACATTATAAATTAATATTATAATATGACAGTAGTAAGCTTTAATGTAATTTATAATTAGACACTTCAATAATATCAATCATTATGCGTTTAAATGTGTGTTATTTGAATTTAAAATTTTAAATACATTATTCGCTAATTTATAAAAAATTATTATTGTTAATTAGCATAATTTGGGCAAATATAACCTACTAATAAAACCTACCTATAAAAATAATTTAATTAATTTGTGCTAATTAATACAAAAAATTGGTGACAACAACAACGATCCAAATATAAATTTATTTGTTAAATGAAAAATTATAATTTTTATTTGCACTATTATTACAGTTTTGAATTAATTTTATTTAAATTTAAATTAAAACTACAGTACAATCTATAAGTATTTTAATTGTTTATTATTTAAACAATTATTTGATAACATTGGCATACAATCGTTATAATTAAAATTACCATTTTTTATTACAAAATGGGATAATGATAATTTACTAAGTTGTACTGTATACTAATATTTTTTAATAATGTAAATTAACACTGGTTGAACTGTTTTAATTCAATTGGGTTCACAGACTTCAGATTTTTAGTTTTAGCGTATTTGTTAAATTTTATTTAATTATGTAATAAATACTATTTTAAAATGTACAATGAATATATTTATCATGGCGGTTTATTAATATTTTCTAACCCCTCTATACTGCAATGAATTATATTTACTCTTATATTGAAACACCATGTCCAGGTCCAAATTTTACATTCACGGAATGAATTGTAGTTATTATCATATTGATATATGATACATTTAATGACAAATTATGAAATATTAGCTTTCTAACTTTTTGGATTAACGCACTAGATTGCTTTATATTCTTATGATTTCAAATCAAATAACAGGATAACGGTATGACATATTAAAATGATTTCTTCACTAAATATATTAGACAAATGAGGTTCATTAAAAATAGCAAAATATGTTTTGATATCCCACTAACACCAGTGACCCGCGGGCCAGTAGTTGTCGTGTTTGATAGCGCGGTATATAATTGCCATTAACGTA